GGCTTGGGTCAGGAGCACCTTAATCCTCAAACAGACATTTTGCTCTTCAACACTTTAAAGAGGTCTTGTGCAGCAGATTTGCCTAAAGTAATATGTCGTTTGATTTCTTGAGTGCTCCTTCCATGAGTGTTGATGGTTGATTCAAGCAAAATGAAGTCTTTGACAACTTCAATCTTTTCTCCATTTATATGTTGTTGTTGTTAAGTGCCGTCAAGTTGGTTCTGACCCATAGCGACCCTGAACAGGGTTTCCGAGGCTATAAATCTTTACTGGAGCAGAAAGCCTCATCTTTCTCCCGCGGAGCAGCTGGTAGTTTTGAACTGCTGACCTTGCGGTTCGCAGCCTGATTTGTAACCAGAGCTCCGTTTATATAGATGTTTATTTGTTCAGTGGTGAGGATTTTTGTTTTCTTTACATTGAGATACAACCCATACTAAAGGCTGTGGGTTTTGATTTGTATCAATAAGTATTTTAAGTCTTCTTTGTTATCAGCAACATCTTACATTATTAGTATGGAGCATTTATTATAATTGTTAAGTGCCTTTGAGTGGTTCTGACTCATAGTGACCCTATATAGGCTTTCCTAGGAGCAGCTGGTGAGTTTGGACTACTGACCTTGGAATTCAAACCAATCTTGTGGTTGAGCTCCATACCAGAACTCCTTGTTATAATTAATGAACCAAATATTGCTAATTATTATTATTAATGAAAGTCCGTGCTTTGTTAGCATTTCCTTAATTTTCACTTACTGCTCTATTGGTGATCCAGTATCCCATCCAGAACACATTACATTTAGTTGTACATTTAGGCTTCTAGCTGTGAGTGTTTCTCAGATTTTCTTTTGTGATGACCTTGACAGTTTTATGGAGTTCTTGTCAAATATTTTGCACCTTTATTGAAGTTTATATCATATTTTCCTCTTGATTTGACTGGGGTTATGTGTTTTTAAGGAGCTCTGGTAGTGTAGTTGTTACGAATCAGGCCATGAACCATAAGGTCAGCAGTTTGAAACTACAAGCTGTTCTACGGGAGAAAGATGAGGCTTTCTGCTTTTGTAAAGATTTACAGCCTCGGAAACCCTGTACACAAGGTGGCTATGAGTCGGAACCCACTCCACGGCACATAACCACATGTGTTTTTAGGAGGAAGGCTACAACGATAAAGTGCCATTTTTATTACCTCAGATCCAGGGTGCATACTATCAACATGATTTATCATTTGCATTTAATCTAGATCAGCTGGGTGTGATAGTGTTTGTGGTAATGTTAGTCATTTTCCCTCCATTTCCTTACTATGCTCTTTGAATGAAAGTCGCTCTTTATAGCACAGTAAGAAGTGGGGAGTTAGTTACGTAATTTATTTGGAACCCTTCTGTATGGGAGATTTATGTCTTCTTCCCATTTATGTATTTAGTCAAATATTTATTAATATTAGTATGCACCCATAATTATAATAATAAAGAGCTTTATAAATGAATAAGAGACATATAAAACATCATTTGAGCAAACAAATCTCTGAGGGAGAAATATGAGGGGGCTTCAAAAGTTTATGAACAAAACGATATTAAAAGTTGATGGAAATTTTTCACGAACATTTTTAAGCTTCCTCATACAGAAAGCCCTTAAGCAAAAGGATGCTTGACCTCAATTAAAAAACAAAAACCAAATCTATCTAAGTGACAAAGATCTAGAGGACAATGACCAGTGCTCATGGAGTTGCAGCAAACTGAATGAACTCGTTTTGTAGTGTACAGTCTGTCAGTACTTACACACGCATGCTTTAAATTGGTGTGCTCTTGAATCATAGCAACTTCATTTATATGCTCTAAATCTGATGAGGTAGATGGGTAAGTCAGTAAGGTTATATGTACAAGCATGCTCGTTGCAACATTGATAATAACAGAAGCAGGAAACCATTGAAATATTCTTAATTGGGCACATTTTTTATTTAACCATTAAACACAGAAGGTTAGATATTGATGTGGAATGATATTGCTGTTTATTATGGTAAAAATAAAAGCAGGTTAGAGAACATATAGTACTGACCCAATATAGTTAAGTATCTACATATTATAGGCAAGATATTATATATTCAAATATTTTATATGTGAAATTCAAAAACCTAACTTGGAGAGTTTCATAAAAGGTAGAGGATTATGAGGTTGGGGATAAAGCTTTTATTTTCTCTGCTTTAGGATTTTTTTTTTTTTTAATGAAGATTATATAATAAAAATTTTAATACATTTTCTTTTAAAAAGTCTTCATTTATTTCTTTGTATGCTACTTTTTTTTTAGTATAGTCTTACTGAGTTTCAAAACTATAGATGACATGAGAAGGTGTGTGTAGGTTGTTGAATAGAAGGCTGATTTGTTCTATGAACCTTCGCTCAATTTACAATTAGAAAATTAAAAAAGATATCTGATAAGAAACTCATACTGCTTTTGTATATTCTGTTTTCAGAGCAGTGGAAAGAGCTCAGTGCTAGAAAGCCTAGTGGGGAGGGACCTGCTTCCCAGAGGTACTGGTATTGTCACTCGGAGACCTCTCATTCTGCAGCTTGTCCATGTTTCACCAGAAGATAAGCGAAAAACAACAGGAGAAGAAAATGGTAAATTTCAGAATTGGTATAAGAATTAAAATTCATTTTTGGTCTGCTTGTAGAAATACATTCACTGATTAGATCATTAGAAACTAGTGGCTATATTAAAGAAGTTCTATGAAGAGAAGTAGTATGCATTTTTCTCACGTTAAAAAAAAAAAAAGTAATTTTTGTTGTTTTGAAGGACCATGAGTAAACTTATTGGGAATAGTCTCTTTTTGGTACCCTAGCTCTTTAGTAGATTAAAATGCTCTTTATATGAATTTTAATGGTGGGTTCAGTGAAAAGTGCCACTAAGTGAGTTGGCTTTTGTGTCTTCATTTTAAAGTTTCTTTTCTATTTAAAACACCACCTTTTGAGGGGGAGGATTTAAAATTTATATCATTAAGATACTAGTGGAAAAGATTTTGTTTTAAGTAAAATTAAATGATTTTGTTTTCCAGCTTAGCGACGTTATCTCATCTTTCATTTTTAAGTCTTACCATCAGTCATCTGCTGTGGAAGGCTAACTGATTTATTTTCCCCTTGTGTTAAAGTAAATATTATTAAGAGGAGTTTCTGTTTTGCTTTTTAGACCCTTCTCTTGCTGCTGCTGTTAGTGCCATTAAGTCAGTTCTGACTAATAGTGACCCTGTATCAGGTTTCCAAGGAGTGACTGGTGGGTTTTGAAATATGACCATGTGGTTAGCAGTCCAGTGACTAACCTACAGCGCCACACCAGGACTCCTATATACAAACTCAACCAAACCAGTTGCTGTCCATCCGATTCCAAATCATGACAACGCACCATTTTTGAAGATTTCTCTTCTTCCCATGTTCAGACTTAGTCTCCAGCTAGACTCTATTAGTATATTTCATTAATGGAGTATTAAAAATAAGAATATATTCACACTCTTTATATAGACAGTTTTTTTTCAAGCTCTCTAGCCGCTTCTCGAAAACCCTATACAGGGTTTTGCTATAGGTTGGAACCGACTTGATGGCACTTAACAATAACGAAATTGAATATATTGTAAGAAATGCTATCTGTATTAGCAGATTTTAAGTTGTTGATTAAATATGTATTCAAAATCACTCATACTTAAATATATTAATGAGAGTTTTAATGTTTGATAGGAGAAATAATATGTTTAATCTTCCTATTGTATTCAGTGTTTGACTCAGATTTTTTATCTCACTTTTAAGGGTCTGTACTATTAAATTATATTTTCAGCAGAGTACCAAGTTGTTTTTCAGTGCTGTCTCATTCTACTTCTTATTTTCTGATTAAAGTAGGATGATAGTATTGATGAAAGTGAAGTTACTTTAATTACTGTATTTGAGTTTTCCTTCACTTATTATAGTGGTTATTGGAGCTGATTTGATTTTTTTCGTAAATCACATTTGTGCTGAGCATCTGCTTGATTCTAGAAAGTTAATTACTGAAACAGTTGATGAAGTTGTGGGTTTCAATAAAAAATAATTTTGGATAGACAGCCAGAGGATATGTAGGACCCTTACTTATATTGGACAACTTCTTTTCATATTCGGTATCACTTTACACTTCTGTAATATTTCTTTATTAATGAAATTCTTTATCTTAAATCTAATCATTTTGGATTAGTCTGTGGTTCAGCATCCAGTGTATAGAATGCTACATTTTACATTACATAAACAAATTTACCAAATACTTTAAATTAACACTTTAAAAACTCTATGGCAATAGGCCTTCTTAAGTTTGCATTTTTTTTCAGTAGCCTTGAAAAGGGCAGATGATATCCTAACTCTTAGGAAACTATTTGCAAATGTGAATATTGTTTTCTTAGATAAAACTTTGCTTGTTAGTAAAGGATGCACCTTTAAGTTATAGACGTTTGAGCTCCTTGTTATCTCTTTGCTTGTGTGTTACTATGTTTTGTTGACATCTCTCTTTGGTGGTGGTCAGTAAATCCGCTTATCTTTACGTGAATATATATATATATCCCTCTACAAGGTTAGTGCTTATTTTCCATGTTGAAAAACAGCAACAGTAAAGCTCACTGAAAATGGCAGCTGGATCATCCAGAATACAAAATAGAGTTAATAAATTTTGAGTACTAACTGTGTCTTATTCTAGGATAGTTCCTTAGTTTCTCATCAGCTTCTTTAGCTTTGGAATGAATAATTCTAGTGTATCATAAGTCATTCTAACCTAGAGAAAATTAGAAACAGTGAAGTAGATAAACATATAGTTAGTGTGATGAGTATGGAATATGGTACTAGAGGGGGAAAAGACTACAAGGAGATAGGAGTAAGGGGAAAATGTAAGTAGATAGAAGAACTTTAAAAAAAAAAAAAAAAAAAAAAGAATTAGCCTTCTAACCATTTTGTATTGGGATATATAGCCCCTAAGGGCTTTGTTAGGTAAAAAAGGTATGTTGTTGTTAAGTGCCATTGAGTTAATTCTGACCCATAGGAACCTGAACAGGATTTACAAAGAGTAGCTGGTGAGCTTGAACTATTGACCTTGTGGTTCAAACTGACATAGTAGTCTAGCGCATTAACCCACAGCGCCATACCAGAACTCCAAAAAAGGCATAAGTTATCAGTAACAGGTTAGTTTGAGAACACTGTATTCCAAAATGACAGGGAAGTATAGTCCATTTTAGATATTGCTGTTGTTGTTACATGCCATTGAGTTGGTTCTGACTCATAGCGACCCCATATAGGGTTTCCGAGAAGCAACTGGTGGATTTGAACTGCTAACCTATGGTTCACAGTCCAGTACTGATCCACAGCACCATACCTGAAGTCCATTTTAGATATGTTGTTGTTATTAAGTGCTGTCGACTCAGAGTCAATTTGGACCCATAGCGACCCTGTATAGAGTTTCCAAAGAGCAGCTGGTGAGCTTGAACCACCAACCTTGCCGTTCAAAACGACTTTGCAGTCTGACGCATTAGCCCACAGCCGTCAAAACTGGCTAGAATACATTCAATTTAATGTGAGATCCTTCATTCCCCTATCTGTGTAGGATAATTGAAGTGTATTAAGGATAATTGAAGTGTATTAAGTTCTGACTCATAATGACCCTGACCCTGTATAGGGTTTCCAGCAGCGACTTGTGAGTTTGAACTGTCAACCTTGTGGTTAGTAGTCTATTGCTTATCCTACAGCACCAAACCAGGACTCCATTGAGGGTTATAGGTGGGATTTTATATGAAATTTCTTAGCTTAACTTTCACTGTCTGTTATATTCTTACTAATAACAAAGTCAGACTTTTAGAGTGGGATGGTAGTTTAGTTTGAAGCAGTCCATAATTGTCTTTCGCAATCTTTTGTAAGAAATAAATCAAGCTTTTCTGAGATTTTTTTTTTTTTTAGAAAAAAATCGACAAGTAGTGTGCTGATTAAAGACCGAAATTGTGCTCTGTATTGTACCTTTTAACGGTATCAATGGATGTTTTGAAAATTTATTTTTGGAAGTAAGTAGTTGAACTAAAGCCAAATGTTTTTGTGTTACACAAATGTCTATGTTTTATAAGATAATGCCTAAAATATGGGTGTGATTTGTGTTATTATACCTTGACCAAGAAGTAGTTCGAACAGAACATGGGAACACTGAATGTTTTAAAATTAAGAAAGGTGTGCGACAAGGTTGTATTCTTTCACCATACTTATTCAACCTGTATGCTGAGCAAATAATCTGAGAAGCTGGGTTCTATGAAGAAAAACGTGGCATCAGGATTGGAGGAAGACTTATTAACAACCTGCAATATGCAGATGATACAGCCTTGCTTGCTGAAAGTGAAGAGGACTTAAAACATTTACTGATGAAGATCAAAGAGCATAGCCTTCGATATGGATTACATCTCAATGTCAAAAAAACAAAAATCCTCACCACTGGACCAATTAACAACATTCTTATCAATGGAGAAAAGATTGAGGTTGTCAAGGACTTCATTCTTCTTGGATCAACTATCAACACTCACGGAAGCAACAGTCAAGAGATCAGATGATGTATTTCATTAGGTAAATCTGCTGCACAGGAACTTTTTAAAGTGTTGAAGAGCAAAGATGTCAGCTTGAGGTCTAAGGTGTGCCTGACCCAAGCCATAGTATTTTCAATAACCTCATATGGATGCGAAAGCTGGACAGTGAATAAGGAAGACCATAGAAGAATTGATGCTTTTGAATTATGGTATTGGAGGAGAATACTAAAAGTGCCATGGACTGCCAAAAGAACCAGTAGATTTGTTTTGGAAGAAGTGCAGCTAGAGTGCTCCTTAGAGGTCAAGATGGCCAAACTTCGTCTCTCATACTTTGGACATGTTGTCCGGAGGAAACAGTCGCTGGAGAGGGATATCATGTTCGGTAAGATGGAGGGTCAGAGAAAAAGAGGAAGACCCCCAATGAGATGGATTGGCCAGGTGGCAGCATCGATGGCCTCAAGTGTGGCAACAGTAGTGAGGTTGGCCCAGGATCGGACATTGTTTTGCTCTGCTGTGCATAAGGTCGCTATGAGTTGGTGCTGACTTGATGGCACCTAACAACAAGTTATATTATGAGGGTGAGTCTAAAATTATCTGCACTCTGGCTGTAGAATTAATTTTAATCAACTTTTAGAAAAGATAAATACGTCTTTTTTTGACATAATCTTGCTTTTCAATACACTTTGTCCATCATCAGCAAGCTTTTGTATCCCCTCATTAAAAATGTTTTATGCTGAACTGTGAGCCACAAATGCACTGCTGTCTTTGCTTCTTCATCGGAGGTGACTCTTCATCTTCGAAGGGCTGCTTTCAGGGGAGTAAACGAGGGAGAGTCTGATGGAGCAAGATCAGGACTATAGATAGGATGCTTTGACACCTCAAAACAAAGTTTTTGCAGATTGTAAACAATGTGGGCAGAGGTGTGAGGAGATGTGTTGTCATGCAAGATCATAAAGACCTTGGATAGCAGCAGTTCTCTGCATTTAATCCAAAATTTAGATTTCAGCTCTTCAGTGAGCATGTCACTATGATGAGCACTGATAGTGTTCCTATACTGGTCCTTGAAAATCCCAGAAACTGTTAATGTCAATTTTCCAGCTGATGGTTGGCTTTTGAACTTTTTCTAGGTCAATGATTGGGAATGTTTCTATTCCATACTTTGCTGTTTACTCTCAGAGTCATAGTGATGAATCTGTGTCTCATCACCAGTTAAAAAAAAATTAAGCAACTTTTACCTTCCTTCAAGTATTGCCAAATTTTGTTTGTAGATTTCCAAATGCTTCTGTTTATGCTCTTCTGTGAGTTGTTTCAGTACCCATCTTGCACAAACTTTTCAAAATCCAAGTCTGTGTGGATTATTTCATAGGCAGAGCCATGGCTGATTTGCCACATAAGTGCACACTCAATGTTGTCATCAGCTATGGACGTGGACAGGCATTTTAATATAACCAGAGTTCAAATAATTTTTGACTCACTTTTGTATTTGTTTGTAAAAGTAGTTTCCCTCCAAAGTGAAGTAAAATTATATATAAGAGTTAAGTAAAAAGGTAGAATTAATTGTTCTGCACAAAGGGTCATGGTACAAGCAGTAGTTTTCCTTTGGATTGCATCCATGAAATTGAAGAGTTATTCTGTTGTTCTGTTAAATGCAATATAAGTTTCAAAGAAATGAACCCTTAAAAAGCTCAGGCTTAGCTAATGGGACAAGTACTTGTAGAGCCTTATTAACTCGTAAACGCTGTGAAAGATGTGTTTATTATTTTCATAGAGTCTTTTCAGGCAATCCATCTTTTTCAGTAGTAGGTTATATGAGCACATTTTTGAATAGTGGATTAATTTTAATTGTGTCAGGATATAGAAACCAGCAGTAAGAATTGTAATGGAAAGTTTTCTGACAGTGTTGAAAATAAATAATGGCATAGGCTTGGAGTCCTGTTGTGGTACCATAGGATAAGCACTGGACCATATAAGTTCGCTTTGAACTGCAAGGCCAGTGGTTTAAAGTCAACAGCAACTACTTGGAAACCCTATACTATCGCTATGAGTTGGTCCCAACTTGACGGCACTGATTAACTTATGTCACATTTAAAAATACTATACACATCCTTCTAACTCTGTATGTAAATTTTGAATAATTGAGAGATGTGTGCATTTGAAATGTGTTCAGGTTTCTGTACATTAGATACTTTTAAAAGTTTAATATTTTAGTGATAAGCACTAAACTTTTCATTCTGTGCTGTTTCTCTTTAACTACAGACCCTGCCACATGGAAAAACTCAAGACACCTTTCTAAAGGTTTCCTTTATCCATTCGTTCTTGGCCCTTTTTCTATCATGCCTGCATGTATGCTTTTGTACTATTACAGGCTGTCCGCATTTTCTTTTTCCTTCCATTTCTATTTGCCTGTCCATATCGGTTGCAGGTATTAGTAGTTCTTGTTATCTTTTCAGTATTCATCAAAATGCAAGCTTTTTTGGTGGTGAATGTAATTTATTTTATTTTTAGTTTTGAAAACTTGCTTGTGATACCAGGCCTCTTTTATACAACAAGGTAAATTAAACACACCCCTGTGGTATGTAGTACCCTGCCTCCGTGAGTTCTGTTCACCTAGATAACTCCAGTGCTTCAATGAGACTTCTTGGAAGAAGGTATTAAGCTCCAAGTAGGTGAGATTTTACTTGCAAAAAGGATCCAATTTTATTTACCTTTATTCCATCAAAGAATTGATCTGCTATTTTCTCAGGAAATATTTGTCACAATATCTTACAGTCATGTGTATTTTGATTTCAGGTGGCTGATATGTTTTATTAAGTAAGCTGGATTATGATTAAATGTAATTACATATTTCTAGTTTCTTTGGGTAAAAAAAAAAAAAAAAAAATTTGCCTTCAAAGTTTTTGACCATTTCACATAGTACATACACTGAACATGTTTTCTTTTTCTCTAGCAAGTGCAGGTGTAACTGACATAAGATTAGAAGTTGGAACTCCAAAAAGTACATAAGCCAGGATGTTTGTTTTGATTTTTTTCTCCATTTCATTTCTTTCCCATCTATAATTCCAAGGGAAAATATAGTCATGGCTCTTGGGGGAAAAAAACCACCTTGAAAGTGCATATAAATTACAGATCAGTTCCAAGTTACTAAGAGAACTCTGTTAATGAACAACAAATGGAGGCTTTGTAGATAACAGAGACATTACAGATAAACAAAACTAGAAATAGATTGAAAATCAGTAGTTTCATTCACATATTACATAATTTTTTTTTATCTGTATATCTCCTTTTTGTGTTATTCAGTAAGGTACTTTATTGAGTCTTTTGTTTATGTACAAGATACTTTTTGAAAAAAAAAAAGAATATGCCCTTTAATATATTACGACTACACACAAACTGAGAAGAGAAGAATTTTATTCATGAAATCCAGATTTCAAATGATTGGAGGATCTCTGAGCTACTCTACCTGAAGTTAGTTATGTTTTGAAATACAGAAGTCCCAGAATACAAATGTCAGGCTTACAGACAACTACCTGCTCATCTTGTAAATTTACTCTCATTGAGTCCTTGGTGTGGCGATGGTGTGCATGGAGTCGGTTCCGACTCATAGTGAGCCTGCATAGGGTTTTCAAGGCTGTAAATCTTTACGGGAGCAGAAAGCCTCATCTCCTGCGGAACGGCTTGTAGTTTTGAACTGCTGACCTTGAGCTTAGCAACCTGACTCGTAACCACTATGCTACCAGATAACCAATCCTTACATAAAACAAATTGTTAATCATAGTCAACTTCAATTTCTGCACTTGAACCTTTTAAATAGTTGAAAAGGCAGTGAGCCTTTTCTTGTGCTACAGTAAGGCTAAATAAGAACCATTTGCACCTGTTTTGACTGATCCACAAATTCCACTTAAAGACATACAGACACAATAACAGGTCTTTTAGTAACTTAGACTGCCTGTACATGATAAAAAAATTTTACATCGTGAAAGGTATACTTTAGCAGGTCTTAACAACATATGTCTTATAATAATGGCAAAATAGGAACAAATAACAACTTACTGTGGTGCTGTTTTGACTCCTTAACTAAAAATAACAAGTAATTTCCATAGTTTCTAGTAAATGAGTTTTTCTTTTTACAGGGGTTGAAGCAGAAGAATGGGGTAAATTTCTTCACACCAAAAATAAGGTAACCACACAAGAATATTTATTGAAGAAATACCATTGACAGCTTTTTTTGCGCATGCATGTACTTGATAATTTTGTTTCTTAGCCTGCTTCTCTAATTAAAGATGTATAACTTATTTGATTAGGCAGCTTTGAAAAGTTCATAAAAGCTATGAATCCTTTTTTCAGGAAAATGTATGTCTACATTAGATTTTGTTTAAAAATTCTTTACAGAAAATCTATAGATAACCTTGAAGCTTATGGGTCCCTTCACCTCCCCCCATATAAGAACTTTTAATATAATTTTGAATGTTGTGCTTATTTTTCAATAATTTTTAGCTTTACACTGATTTTGATGAAATTCGACAAGAAATTGAAAATGAAACAGAAAGAATTTCAGGAAATAATAAGGTAGGCATCCTTTTAATGATGATACATATATAATTGAGAGTGTTATTTTATATAATGTTATGTGACAAAAAAAACAAAAAAACTTGTTGCTGTCAAGTCCATTCTGACTCCTGACCCAAAGAGTAGAACTGAGCTTCATAGGGTTTTCTTGGCTGTAATCTTTATAGAAGCTGATTGCTTGTCTTCTTCGCTGCTGGTTGGGTTTAAACTGCCTGTATTCTGCTTAGTAGCTGAGAACAAACTGTTTACATAATGCTGGTCTTTGAAAGGATCTAATAGGAAAAATGGCATATTTTCATATATATTAAGATTTGTTTAAATCTATTATTTGTTTCATAGAACTTTTATGTACAGAAATATTTTATGTAGATGTTTATTCTTGATCTTGTTTTGTACTTGCCGCTTTATTATATAATTATTTTCCTGACTCGACAGCACTTAACAACAACAATACTGTAACAATTAGCTATCTTTTCTTGATGGATTGATTGTACTCTGTCTCAGCAATCTGTTTAATTTATGAAGTATTTATATTTTGAAGAGCTCTTTTCTCACCTGAGTAAGGCTAGATTATCAATTTAGGTGAGCAAAGAGAAATTAGGTTAATTTTCTAGTGAAAAATGGAAATTAGTATGTTAACTACTGAATTGTTTTATGTTCTGTGATTGTTAAAATTGAAACTAAATTGACTGAGATACTGTTTGACACCAGGTACTATTTTTTTTTACCGCCATTCTTATATTTTCTTAAAGGCACGTGGTAGACTTAATCCTCTAAGTGGGCCCTAGCCTAGTACTAACATTCAATAAATATCTGTTGGGCCTTTGTATCTACAAGGCACTATGCTGGGAAGGTTGTTTTGGAGCCCTGTTAAGTCATTCCTGTTCAAAAAATTTGTTTCTGTACTAGCGATTGACTTAGTTTTGTTCATTAATGAACTCTAGGCTGATAACCTTTAAGTTACTTTCATTGTGATCATCATTTTCATCCTTTCCTGAATTTCTAATAACTGTTGCATAGAAGGCTAGAAAGTCTGGTCGCAGGTAACTAGATTAGTTTGTCCTCAGTTCTGTACTTACGTTTTTGTCGTTAAGTTGGTTCTGACTCATAGCTAGGATTTCCAAAGAGAGGCTGGTGAGTTTGAACCACTGACCTTAAGGTTCAAACTGACCTTGCAGTCCAGTGCTTATCCTATAGCGCCACACCAGAACTCCTTTGTAATTATATCAAGGTTGATATTTGCATATGAGATATTGTTAGTCATTCTACCAGTCTGGACTACCTTTTCTGTGATCCCCCTGCATTTATTGAACTCAGGAATTAGTGATAATTTTACACAGTGACAGAATTTAGAGTGGAAGTGAGACTGTTGATTGTGAAAGGAAAGTTTTTAGTTACACCAAATTGATTGTCATGGAAGAGTAAGGCTATCTATATACCTAAAGGTGTTCAATTAATGCTGAGGATATAGTTTACCTAACAGGTTTTGATCTGCAAAAGACAGAGGTATCTTTTATCCCCAGATCTCTAAGTATCTCTTTTTCCCTAAATCATTCATGTAATGAAGTAATGTATGATCTTATGTTAATAATTTTATATGGCTCAATATATAAATTATTTCATACATGTAACATAAAGCCCTGAAGACATGAAATATCTGTGAGACTGGAGCTGTAAAGACATTTCCTGGTAAAAGACAGTCTTCTCAGTGAGGAAAAAAAAGTACATATAATGTTTTTCCACATGGGGCAAAGTATTGAATTGGACATGGTAGGGGAATGACATAGCACTAAAGATCCTGAGGTAGGTATGTAGAATACCAGCATATGACTTTAGAATACTTGAGTAGTTAAAATATGAAAGTAGTACAGAGTAATTCCATACAGCAAATTTAAGTGCTTAGAGTAAAGGATATTCTACAGAAGTTTCTTGAAAAATGAATATTTTCACTGGGTTAATGAAGCAAGACATGTAAGGTAGATACATAAATGGGAGAACATTTTATAGACAAAATGTGAACAGTTTATAAGTGACATCCTACAAAACTTGTCTAAGGCTGGTGGTAAAAATGAGGGCTATCTTCACCCTAATGGATTTTGTAGTCTAATGGAGAGAAAATACAGCTGTCTCTTACTGTCTAAATTCTTACTGTTTAAATTTAGGGATCGATAGGTTCTGATGAATCCCTTACTGTTCATACTGTTGACACATGATTTTCACATGGGTACCAAACCAAGTTAGATAACTTGTTAGCGATCCTTCTTTCTCTGAACACAGGAACCTAATAAATTTGTATAGTGAGGGCTATGTTATTCTTTTGTTCAGCACTAAGTATATTAGACATATTTAAGAAGTTGTATTGGCATCGAATTAAGAGAAAATAGTGTAATTGTGTAGGTAAAATAAATTGCTTATATTAATGGAATACGATCTTATAGGATTGTTTGTTGTTGTTAAGTGCCTAACACTTAACAGTTCTGACTCATAGTGCCCTGAATAGGATTTCTGAGAAGTGGCTGATGGGTTTGAACTGCCCACCTTGCAGGTCAAACCGACCTTGTGGTCCATTGTCCAGTGCATTATCCTGCAGTGCCGCACCAGGACTCCTTGAGAGCATTGTTGCTGTTGTTATTGTTAAGTGCTGTCAAGTCAGTTCTGACTCCTAGTGACCCTGTATAGGGTTTCCAAGGATCAGCTGTTGAGTTTGAACCACTCACATTATAGTTCATACCAACTCTGTCTTGTGCTTATCCTACAGCACCACACCAGGACTCCCCTTGATAGGATTAAAACTTACTATATATGGTTGGCTAGAGTCTGATGTTAGCCATTTTGGGGAAGAAAGATGAGGCCTTCTGCTCCTGCAAAGATCTACAGCCTTGGAAACCCTATATAGTTGCTATGAGTCAGAACTGACTTGATGGCACATAACAGCAACATCAGTATGATTTGACTCCCTTACTTCTTGTGTATTTCATCCATTTTTAATTGCTCAGATATTTCAGTGATCATGGTTTAATTCATACTTAAAAGCATGTTTTTATTGTTGTTAAGTGCCGTCGAGTTGGTTCTAACTCATAGCGACCCTGTATAGGGTTTCCGAGGAGCAGCTGGTGAGCTTGATCTGCCAACCCTGCAGTTCAAACCAACTTTGCAGTCTAGCGCATTAACCCATGGCACCTCTATTATTTCTGAAAGTTCTTTGGAGTACAGTTCTACTCTGGCAAATAGAAGGCTCACTCTGAGTTGTCAGTTTGAGGGCAGATGGTTGGTTTTTTGGGGGTGAGGGGGTTAATGTCTATCTTAAATGAAGTTTAACATTTTCTGTTTTGTTGAAATTTAATGTGATTTTAATAGAATATTTTAAAACTTACTTTTTAGGGAGTCAGCCCTGAACCAATTCATCTTAAGATTTTTTCACCCAATGTTGTTAATCTGACACTTGTGGATTTGCCAGGAATGACCAAGGTAAGGAGTAGTTGTTACTCGTTGTAGATTTGGTACTCTTGGTTTTCAGTTGAACAGATGTGGTTTTTCGTTAATCTTGAGAATAATCAACTTCTTTTGCAATCACACTCCATCTGTTAGCAACATTTGACATATTCTGACCTTTCCTTTTTTTGAAACATTTTATTGTGAATTGAGTGAAGGTTTACAAAGCAGATCATCAGTTTTACATCCAGCATATCATAACACTTTGTTTAAACAAAAAAAAAAAAATCTCAGTGATTACCATCTCCTCCATTAACATCAGTTATCCTACTTTCTCTCTGTGGTTCCTGTTTCCATTCCACTCTTCTTATTCCCAGGTAAATATTTCCCTTTTGATCTTGAATGGTTGACTATTCCATGGTGAGAGTACCCCATTAGTGTTGTCCCCCCTATGTACATATCCACCGGTTGGTTGAAACGAAGTAATGAGGGTGAGGCCTGAAGGGTGGCCGAGGGCCTTAGTCTTGGGATGCCTCCAGTCTTTTTTTCTGACCAGTAAGCCTGATCTTTTTTTTAAATAATTTTGAGTTTTGTTCCTCACTGTCTTCCGCTCATTCCAGGATCTTCTAATATTATCCCTTTCAGAACAATTGGTATTGGTAGGTAGGCACCATCTAACTCTTCTGGTTTTAGTCGTGGAGTTTGATGTTCACATGTGCCATTGGTCCATTAGACTAGTTGTTTCCAAGCCTCTTAAATTTTCATCACTTTTCTTTCTTCTGCACTTAGAAAGACCAGTATTTGCACCTTAGATGATTGCTCATGAGCTTTTAAGATTCCATTTGCTACTCTCATTGTTGTTTTGATTTGGATCTCTACAATGGCTAATGAGAGCAAACATTTCCTTATGTATTTGTTGGTTGCCAGAATGTCTTCTAAACGGGCAAAGAACATGAACAGACACTTCACCAAATAGGTGTCTTTTTACTGTATTATTTGTCTTTTTCTTGTAGACTTGTAGTTTTCTGTAAATTTTAGAGATTAGCCTCTTGTCTGATATGTTGTTACAAAAGTTTTTCCCCAGTCTGTGGACTCTCGTTTACTTTTTTGGTGAAATTTTTTGCTGCACATAGTGTCTAATTTTTAGGAGGTTCCAGTAATCTATTTTGTCTTGTGTGTTTTTAGTTATGTTTGATAGTGTATTTATGCCATTTGTCAGAGTCCCTAAGTTTGCCCCTGTTTTTTCATTGATGATCTTTATAGTTCTAGGTTCTACATTTAGGTCTTGAATCCATGTTGAATTTGTTTTTTATATGGTGTGAAATATGGGTCTTGTTTTCGTCTGCAAATAGATTTCCAGTTTTGCCAGCACCATTTGTTCAAGAAACAATCTCTCCCCATGTAATGTGTTTTGTCTCTATATCAAAGATCAGCTGACTGTATATGGATGAATTTACTTCTGGGTTCAATTGATCTATGTATCTGTCCATAAATCTATGTATCTTTTGTTGTTCTAGTACCAAGCTGTTTTGAGATCAGGAACAGATTTTGAGATCAGGAAGTGAGCAGCCTCCAACTTTGTTCTTCTTCTTAAGTAACGCTTTACTTATCTGACGTCTCTTTCCTTTACAGCAGTGATCAGTTTTTTGACCTCTTTAAGGAAGGATGTTAGAATCTGGATTGTTGTTGTTACGTGCTATTGAGTTGGTTCTGACTCATAGCGACCCTGTATAGGGTTTCTAAGGAGCAGCTGGTGGATTTGAATCACTTACCTTGTGGTTAACAGTCCGGTACTTATCATCCCGTGCCAGACCAGGACTGCATTATATCTATAGATTGCTTTGAGTAGTGTTTAAAATCTTCCTATTCATGAGCATGGTATATTCCTTTTTTGTAAGTCTCTTTTGGTTTCTTGTAGTAGTGTTTTGTAGTTTTCTTTTGTTTATCTCATTAGATTGATTGCTAAGCATTTCATCTTTTGGGTAGCTATTGCAAATGGTATTGTTTTCCTAATTTCCTTTTCAGAGTTCTCTTTATTAGTGTAAAGAAATGCAACTGATTTTTATATGTTGATCTTGTAGCCACTTTACTCAAATTTTCAGTGAGTTCTAATATTTTTTTTGCTGCAGAGAATTTTATCTTTCTTGCCAATTTGGATGCCTTTAATTTTCCTTTCTTGCCTTATAGCTCTGGCTATGACTTCTAGCACAGTACTGAATAGAAGTGTTAGTAAGAGGCATCTTTGTCTGATTCTTCTTTGCAAAGGCAATGTTTTAATTTTATCTCTGTTGAAAGTAATGCTTAGCTTTCCCTTCCAAAAATACATTCTTTAGTTGGCTTCTAAGACAGCATGACATACAGATTTTCTCTCAATTGTGGTGACCACTCCTTCAGTCTCTCTCTCTCTCTTTTTTTTTTAATGTTTTATTGTGAATTATGTGGTAGTTTACATGGCAGAACATTAGTTTTACATCCTTCAGTCTCTTTTGCTGCTTTTTAATTGCCTCAGTGTCTAAATAGTGAATGCCTAGAGCTTAGTTCTTGAATCTCTTTTCTAGTTATACATAACTTCTTGATGGTTTCATCAAATCTTATTACTTTAATACATGAATGTATATGAATTATATAAGTAGACTTGTATATCCACTGCTTACTTGACATATATACACCTGTATGTCTCATTGATATTTCAAACTTGACTTTTCTGGAACCAGATTCCTGACCCTTTCCTTGACCAGCCTTGGTCCTTCTTCTCTCTTCTCATCTTCATTAAATGGTACCTCCATTCTACGAGTTATTTAGGCCCCCAAATATGGAGACATTCTTGATACTTCTGTATCTTCCTCCCATCGTATTTCCTCTGTCAAAAATCTTGACTCTCCTTAACTTTAAAATATATGCAGAATCCTATCATGACTTAAAAATTCATAGCTGCCACATCTTACCTGAGATGGCTGCAATAGCTTCCTAAAACTGATCTTCCTTACAATCCATTCTTTACTAAGCTGGTAGAGTGGCTCTTTTTCTTGAGCATAGAAACTTGTTGTTGAGCATAGACTAGCTAAAATGAAGGGGAAGGGGAGAGGAAAAATAAGGTGGATGGGAGAATAGCTAGGCAGCTTTACATGGGCTAAATGGGACAGAGGTAAATAACGATCTGAGCACAAACGTGAAACAACAGGGCTCGTGGATACAAAGATTGAGGCATGGTTTGAACAGGTAAAAGTGGGGAAATGATGTTAAGATGCTTGGCTGTTTGTTGAATCTTGGTTTCCCTTGCCTACTGTTGTAAAATAGACACTTGAAGGAGAGAGAGAGGAATAGCCAGAAACATCACCAGAGAAAGCTTGTAAGTCCGTCTTCAGCCTATAACTGTTTGGAATAACTAAACTAGTGCTAGAACTTGCCCAGTGAAGGAGGCTTTCTGCAGAGCCTTTGCATTGCACAAGACTATCGATGGAATCCTGATCATCATCCAGAATCTTCTGAGGTGAGACATTCCCATGTGAAAGGATAAGCAAATCAGTCTGGAGCAGACAAAGAACAGAAGATACTTCTTGAAAATAAGACCAGCAGAAAACAAAACAAAACAAAAAACAACAGCAGTCCAAATGATTACTATAAGAATAAGCAAGTTGTTCCCCAGGGAGCCATCAATGCAAGTGGTAGGTCCCCTCAAGGCAAACCCCCTTCCAAGACTGAAACTCAAATGGAATACACTAGAAGGCATATGGTCCTGCTGCTGACCACGTTGGTCACCGATAAGGGGAAGAGGGGGAAAAACAGCAATGAAGTTGTGAACTAAGTCCGACCACATTCAATAGGCTCCTGTTAACCTGGATTGAGACCTGGTTAACCAGCAGTATGACGAGACCTGGGGACTCCTGGGCCCAGGGGCAGGAACATGGCCCCAGAGGACTAGAATGTAGTATGAAGCATCCAGCTGATATAAAGTGATGGGGGCGGGGGGGGGAGATGCACAAGAACACCCACACTTGCCAATAGTACCCATTTGACCTGGCATCAATGGCTGGATGATTAGAACATGACTAGAGGAAGAAACAGGGGGGGGGGGAGTAACCCACTATAAGTGGATGATCTTGACCTATGCTTTTGGATGCAGTATGACAAAGGAGTAGACAAATTTCTACAGTGAGGATCATTCCCACCCCCTTGGTACACAGGGTCTACAGGGAGAGGGAACTTAGACATTGTCTACCCAAAATGGGGCACTACAAAGGCAAGAAGTGACTGGCTTATAAGCTTTCAATAGGGATTGTAGCTCCAGAGAATACAGGGAAAGGTAGAACCTCCACTGAATTGTTTCCAACATGTCTGGATGGGGTTGATAAAAGGTGAGGGGGAAAGGACTCCTGTGGTTCAATAGGGAATGATTGCTATCAGGTCTGACAGCGAATGTTGGAAAGGTAAATGTAAATAAATGTTTGGTAACAAAAGGAGAGGAGTGGCTGATTTTGCAGTCCAGGAGCGGAGATCCCTGGAACCATCAAGGGAGAAAAGCGAAGTGTGAGACTGTGTCTGGAGAGGGAGTGACACTAAGGATGGAGGTAGAGGCAGTGACATGGATAGAAGGAGTGGCTGGGAACTTTGAACTCAGGGAGGGAGAGGAGTGGTGTGCTCATGGGGAGGGGAGGCAGGAGTGTGGGGTTTACCCTTTGGGTGTTTGATGATGCATGCAGGGGATTGTGATCATTGCAGTGAAACAAAATACGATAGGATGAATGTAAAGGTAATGTTCGCCCATGTAAACTAACACACAATTCATAATAAAAACTTAACAAAACAAAACCCCTGATGGTATTGAAGGAAGCAATCTAAGCAGCACTGAAGATCTTTGCAAAGATAATACTCCAGGAGTTGACAATATCGGTTGAGATGTTTCAACAACCGGATGCAACATTGGAGGCGCTCATTCCACAAGAAATTTGGAAGACAGCTGCCTGACTAAGCGACTGGAAGAGATCCATATTTGTATCATTCCAAAGAAAGATGACCCAGATGAATATGAAATTATCAAACTGTCACTGATAAAAAACACAAATACAATTTTGATGAAGATAATTTAAAATTTGTAGCAGTACTGCACAAGAAACTGTCAGAAATTCAAGCTGGATTCAGAAGAAATATGCCACTAGTGATATAGCTGACATCAAATAGATCTTGGCTGAAAGCAGAGAATATCAGAAAGATGTTTATTGTTGTTGTTGTTAACTGCCATCGAGTCGGTTTCTGACTCATAGCAAACCTGTATGGGGTTTCCAAGGAGTGGCTGGTGAGTTTGAACAGCAGACATTGTGGTTCAAACTGACCTTGCAGTTGAGTGCTTACCCTAGGACTCCAGAAAGTTGTTTACCTGTG